TGCCTATAAGACTAATATAAGGCGTCTTCCTGCGAAGCGTTAGTTGCTCCTTGTTTATATCGAAGTATTCGCAAATGTACTTTAACACGGTAACACTAAGCTGATTCAGCCTGTTCGCATGATACAAGGTGCAAAGATCAAGATTGTCATAAGTGATAGGATGCTGGAGCTGAACTTCTCGTAGAACTTCTGTCCGAGTGTCCCAATACTGCTGTTGGTCGACAGCAGCCTCGCGATCACTACTGTCATCCTCTGCATGTTGATGGCGTAGTTTCCCAGCTTGCCGACAAAAGTAGGACTGTATTTGTTGTGCACTTAGGAATTCATCTCGGGTGAACAGCCGGTTACCCATGGCATTTTTGGCGTAGCGCATGTCGCGAGCTACCGACAGTGGATCCACTTTGTGACCGGTTTGCTGCCCGATACTAAACTTTTCATTAAGGTACTTCTTTTGGGTTTCACTGAGGCGCCCGGATTTTTTTGTTTGCTTCAACGCCCAACCTCTCGCCAGCTGACTGGTATTTGCGGCAAGTTCCCGAGGAACGGTTCTCTCATCATGGCTTGTCGCTCCTGCGCTCCTTCCTTCAGTTAATTTAAGATGGTACATTTCTTTCGCTTGGTCAAGAAGTGTGGCTTTCTCTGGGAGCAATTCACACTTTTCGTATGACAGGTGCTTTTCAAGGGCTGAGTATCTTTGATAGACCTTGATACATCCTTCACTGGGACACTGGAAAACACCTACCCCTGCATCTCCCTCTGCTGTCTCTGGCACTTCAGAAAGAGAATGTTCATCTGAAGACTTCTGGCTGCGTGTCTGACGCACCCCCTTGCTGCAATCCACAAAGTTCCCCGATGAAAATGTTTGTTGTAACGTGCCACTGAAACTGGTTGTGGCTGAAACCAAGCCAAAAAAAAATGTTAAATCAACAAATGAATAATAAATAAAACAACAGGAAGCAGCTCGCGCCATTACTCTTTTTCTTTCCCCACGAGAAGAAATTTGTCTGTTGGTAGGTGTAGCACGAAGTTCAGCGATTGTATGCAAACAGCGCACGCTGAAAAAGCAAGTTGGTTAACTGGTAATGAACACCCTATTTGTTTTGCAAAAAAAACACGCTATTCTGGTACAAAGTTCCTCAAACAGCCGCATTTCAACTCAAGCTGTATTCTCGTGGAGTATAATCTTACTGGAAGGGATAAAGCCGGCTGCCGGTAAACGTTTGCGTATGAAGTTACCTTTGCGCAAATAAGGTGACCTTTATGCCATAACAAAAAAATGTATAGCTACTTATTCCTCAAAACAAAGAAGTGATGTTCGTATTTGCTTATTAACTCATCACGCTCATTATAAGCTGAAACTAATGAGGGCGTGGCCAACAGCATATGCTTGTAACCTGTTGTTCTCATTAATACGACATGTTAATACTACATGTGAATACCTTTTGGTAGTTGTTTGTCGACTGTCTTTCCACTGCCGACGTTGTAGGATCGCCATACTGTTATCGTTGTGCCCGTGTACTGTAGGTTGTTAATCAAGCTTATGCCATCCCATTTGATGGGGTTCTCTTTGATCCCCAATGAATCAACAAGAGCCACTCTGATCCCAGTGAGTCCTCCAGCTGATAGCATCGCAGTTTCTAAATCCTCCGCAGTTTGGACATCGTGCCCCTCATTTATAAATCTGCGGACATGTGCTTTGATGCTGGCTGCTTTGCGGTCGCATGGGCCTTTCCCTCCTTGAGGGTCACTAAAGTCCACTCTAGAAAGAGTGATTCCAGTGGCAGCCCCCATAGAACGACACGCAGCTAGCATGGTTGAATTGTGATAGCATCCGGCATTATCGCTCCGGAAAAATGCTGTGGTGAGTTCAGGATTTTCCGTTTTCAGTGTGCGTAATACGTGTTCCATGATGCGGATAACCACCGAGCTGTCTTGACTGCAGTTTTTGACAATGTGCACGAAGGACTGACTCTTTAGATTTCCCTGATGTTTTCTTGCAATCACACTTATGTGCCACGAAATGCCCCTCTTTGCAAACCAGTCAGTTTGAGATTCACGGTATTTCTGTGGCAAAAATTTCATGGCCCAGTCCTGGGTGATCATGACGGATGACTCGTCTAGTTGGTCGAGTACGTCTATTCTGGCAGTGTCCTGAATTTTGCTCCTCAGTTGATGGGCCTTCCAGGACAGAACATTTTGAGCTGCCTCGTCGCAAATATGGCGCAAGTCATCCAACTCTTCTTCTGGTAGTCCCAGATCTTCTCGTTGTAAGTATGCCTGGATGTCAGATATTTTAGTTTTCAATTCTTCGCATTGAGAGCATGAATTACCATGATAATGATCACATGGGCTGCTGAACAAAGGCTCTTTTTCATCGCTCAAAGCGTATGTACTACAGTGGTCAGCCACAGACGAGGAGAGAGATACGTGCACCTGATAAAAACAGAAAACAGATATTACGTGCTTAAAGTGAAATGCTTTACAGTAGCTCATACATGGAGCGTAACTATGCATACTAGATTGTATTCCAGCTACTGAAATAGGCCAAACGTACAGTAACGGCAAATTTGTCGCAGTCTTTGCTAAACGGTACTGAGAACCAGGGAGGAATATCAAAGATAGCAGAATCTGCTCTAAAGGACTTTATTTCGAAGCTCAGTTTGATCCCTTGCATTCTGCTCTGCTTGTTATGGAAACATGTTTCATAATAAATGCAAGGAAAGTGAGTGAAAATCAGTCAAGGTTAAACACAGCTTGGGCATATGTGAGTAGTTGCATACAAAGGGGGTGGAAGGAGGCTACGCCCCCAGGTACGATGTACATAATGCTAATTCTTGAATACCTTATAATCCGACTTCAGATATTGTTTCCCGTTCTTCAGACAACTTCTCCATTGCTCAGCGACATCTCTCTTCAATATCCCGCATTCTTCTAGTCTCCTCGCCACATGGCAAAGATCGTCAAAGGCCTTACTTCCTTCTGCGGCAATATAGTCGATACCCTGCAACGATTTTCTCACAGTGGCACTACAGTTTGAGAGGATGGTTAACATCGTTGTGCGTCCAAACGGCTGGAATCCGGCTTCTTCGCAGTATTTGGTATACTGGATTACAATTCGTTCCGGAATCATATTACGAATTACGTTGGGTGTCTCCAGAACTTCACCAGTTGATAACTTCATGTATTTCTGTCCAAATGGGAGATCTTGTATGATGTGCGGACTTGTTATAAATGTCAAAAAATGGTCAAGTTGGTTAGGATCTACCCGCATTCGGGGACTATACTTCAATGAAAGGGGAACGCCCCGACCAAACACATTTTTGTGCTGGCGCGCAATTTTCACTCGGTACTCAGTGATACCAGGCAAATACCTCTGAAGGCGTTTGAAAGGGACTAGATCGGCCATTATGGACAAGACTTGCCTTCTTGTATCCCAAGAGGATGCATTTTTGTATGTTTCTGCCAGGGCTTCAAGGTATTTGTGGTCGTCACTCTCTGCAGATCCAAGCTCTTTGTCCACAAGCATTGACGACTGCAGTGCATCCCATAAATATGCTGCATCCCCTGGCATAATCACATCCAAAGCTGCTACAATGACATCTTTTGCCTTTTTTACGTGGTTCGTACGGGTACGTGCGCCCGCCTCTTCCCACCTCTTCCTGGGTCGAGTTAATTTCTCGACGTTACAACTTTCCAGAAATTTATTGAGTTGCTTCCTTCGTAAGTACTGTTCACTAGGTTCTTCAGCCGGCACGTTTGTGGACTCCTCATCGCTGCCACTGCTTTCTTCAGGGACAAATAAACTATGATCTAGTGTCAACTCCATCATTCCTGTATATATTGCCGACAAATTGCTGTCGTCAGCAGAGTTTGCTTCCTGAAATATGGAGTTTCAATAGCATTAGTATGCTAGACACTGCTCTAATAACTTACACATTTCTTATTAAGCAAGCGCGAGGCCCGCACTAGGGGAATATCGCCCTTGGGTCTTGGCATTTCAGCGAAGTCCGTATAAAAGACCAAGGGTCGATATCTTACCAGTACGGTTCCGACCAAGCTTTGCCAAAAAAGAGATTTATCACACGACTGAAAATTGTTACGAAGAAATGCCATGATCAAGGACTGCAAGAACATCTCATACTTTAAGCGCGCGATTCTGATTGGGAGTCGAACAGGCGTATACTTTAATCAAAAACGTTATACGTTAATTAAAATAAAAGGGAAAGAGAGTTGGAAGAAAAATGAAAGGAATCGTTCATGTTTAAAGCAAGTTCTTTTAGAAAAACGTAAGCCATAAAACAGCCAAAAAATCTTCAAGAATGTTCGTGCGGGATCATTCGGGACAGTGCCCGGTCCAATACTGAGAGAATATTGGACCGGCAATGGAGTTACCTGACTGGCTGATATTAGTTGTTGGCTTTCTGAACTAAGTTAGTCGTGTAACAAAATGTGATATTACCTGGCATAGTCGCTAAAACAGTACAATACCAATTATACAATTGGTATATAAATAATACGATAACACTGTTGTGGTTTGCTTAAAGGTCTCACAATGACAGCATGCGCTCCATAAAAATTCAAGAGAAGCGATGCCTAATTTAGCTCAGTTATTTGTAATAGCGGATTTTTTGCCGTTCGCCTTTATGTACAGCTTCGGTTTAACTACGAGTTGCATGGTAAATTAAACAGACGGGGCTCGTTGTAGTTTAGTTTAAATGTCGCTGTCAGGCTTTTACTTCGCCAGTATGTTAGTCGTGTCTTATCCCTACCTCATCCAATCGAGAGGGGCATACGTCGACGGCTGCTTCTGGCTTGTATAAGGACGCTGCAGCTTGCGCTCCTGGAGAATCTTCGATATCAGTGTACTTGTCGAGACTCTTCCGACATTGCGGACATATGACTGTCAAAGAATTAACCATTGTTTTAATTGAGCTTTTTTGAACATTGCCAGCAAAAGAATAAAAGAAATTGCGAGGCTTCGAGGTATGAAAGTGCGGTGTTTCGAAATTATTCCCCCCCCCGCCCTTGCGCAACGAAGAAAGGAAAAATAAAATGTAGCCCCTGTATCTTTTCTTTTCGCACAACAATTCTATAAGCTACAACGAGCATTTAACTTATTCTTGGACTGCTTGGACTTTGTCTTAAAAATTTTATCCAGTCCATCCCACACATTTTTCTACAAAGTAAAAAATAACCTTCCGCGAGAAGAGGAACCTGTTAAAATTTGTACCCTTCCTACCGCCGCTNATTAACTCGACCCAGGAAGAGGTGGGAAGAGGCGGGCGCACGTACCCGTACGAACCACGTAAAAAAGGCAAAAGATGTCATTGTAGCAGCTTTGGATGTGATTATGCCAGGGGATGCAGCATATTTATGGGATGCACTGCAGTCGTCAATGCTTGTGGACAAAGAGCTTGGATCTGCAGAGAGTGACGACCACAAATACCTTGAAGCCCTGGCAGAAACATACAAAAATGCATCCTCTTGGGATACAAGAAGGCAAGTCTTGTCCATAATGGCCGATCTAGTCCCTTTCAAACGCCTTCAGAGGTATTTGCCTGGTATCACTGAGTACCGAGTGAAAATTGCGCGCCAGCACAAAAATGTGTTTGGTCGGGGCGTTCCCCTTTCATTGAAGTATAGTCCCCGAATGCGGGTAGATCCTAACCAACTTGACCATTTTTTGACATTTATAACAAGTCCGCACATCATACAAGATCTCCCATTTGGACAGAAATACATGAAGTTATCAACTGGTGAAGTTCTGGAGACACCCAACGTAATTCGTAATATGATTCCGGAACGAATTGTAATCCAGTATACCAAATACTGCGAAGAAGCCGGATTCCAGCCGTTTGGACGCACAACGATGTTAACCATCCTCTCAAACTGTAGTGCCACTGTGAGAAAATCGTTGCAGGGTATCGACTATATTGCCGCAGAAGGAAGTAAGGCCTTTGACGATCTTTGCCATGTGGCGAGGAGACTAGAAGAATGCGGGATATTGAAGAGAGATGTCGCTGAGCAATGGAGAAGTTGTCTGAAGAACGGGAAACAATATCTGAAGTCGGATTATAAGGTATTCAAGAATTAGCATTATGTACATCGTACCTGGGGGCGTAGCCTCCTTCCACCCCCTTTGTATGCAACTACTCACATATGCCCAAGCTGTGTTTAACCTTGACTGATTTTCACTCACTTTCCTTGCATTTATTATGAAACATGTTTCCATAACAAGCAGAGCAGAATGCAAGGGATCAAACTGAGCTTCGAAATAAAGTCCTTTAGAGCAGATTCTGCTATCTTTGATATTCCTCCCTGGTTCTCAGTACCGTTTAGCAAAGACTGCGACAAATTTGCCGTTACTGTACGTTTGGCCTATTTCAGTAGCTGGAATACAATCTAGTATGCATAGTTACGCTCCATGTATGAGCTACTGTAAAGCATTTCACTTTAAGCACGTAATATCTGTTTTCTGTTTTTATCAGGTGCACGTATCTCTCTCCTCGTCTGTGGCTGACCACTGTAGTACATACGCTTTGAGCGATGAAAAAGAGCCTTTGTTCAGCAGCCCATGTGATCATTATCATGGTAATTCATGCTCTCAATGCGAAGAATTGAAAACTAAAATATCTGACATCCAGGCATACTTACAACGAGAAGATCTGGGACTACCAGAAGAAGAGTTGGATGACTTGCGCCATATTTGCGACGAGGCAGCTCAAAATGTTCTGTCCTGGAAGGCCCATCAACTGAGGAGCAAAATTCAGGACACTGCCAGAATAGACGTACTCGACCAACTAGACGAGTCATCCGTCATGATCACCCAGGACTGGGCCATGAAATTTTTGCCACAGAAATACCGTGAATCTCAAACTGACTGGTTTGCAAAGAGGGGCATTTCGTGGCACATAAGTGTGATTGCAAGAAAACATCAGGGAAATCTAAAGAGTCAGTCCTTCGTGCACATTGTCAAAAACTGCAGTCAAGACAGCTCGGTGGTTATCCGCATCATGGAACACGTATTACGCACACTGAAAACGGAAAATCCTGAACTCACCACAGCATTTTTCCGGAGCGATAATGCCGGATGCTATCACAATTCAACCATGCTAGCTGCGTGTCGTTCTATGGGGGCTGCCACTGGAATCACTCTTTCTAGAGTGGACTTTAGTGACCCTCAAGGAGGGAAAGGCCCATGCGACCGCAAAGCAGCCAGCATCAAAGCACATGTCCGCAGATTTATAAATGAGGGGCACGATGTCCAAACTGCGGAGGATTTAGAAACTGCGATGCTATCAGCTGGAGGACTCACTGGGATCAGAGTGGCTCTTGTTGATTCATTGGGGATCAAAGAGAACCCCATCAAATGGGATGGCATAAGCTTGATTAACAACCTACAGTACACGGGCACAACGATAACAGTATGGCGATCCTACAACGTCGGCAGTGGAAAGACAGTCGACAAACAACTACCAAAAGGTATTCACATGTAGTATTAACATGTCGTATTAATGAGAACAACAGGTTACAAGCATATGCTGTTGGCCACGCCCTCATTAGTTTCAGCTTATAATGAGCGTGATGAGTTAATAAGCAAATACGAACATCACTTCTTTGTTTTGAGGAATAAGTAGCTATACATTTTTTTGTTATGGCATAAAGGTCACCTTATTTGCGCAAAGGTAACTTCATACGCAAACGTTTACCGGCAGCCGGCTTTATCCCTTCCAGTAAGATTATACTCCACGAGAATACAGCTTGAGTTGAAATGCGGCTGTTTGAGGAACTTTGTACCAGAATAGCGTGTTTTTTTTGCAAAACAAATAGGGTGTTCATTACCAGTTAACCAACTTGCTTTTTCAGCGTGCGCTGTTTGCATACAATCGCTGAACTTCGTGCTACACCTACCAACAGACAAATTTCTTCTCGTGGGGAAAGAAAAAGAGTAATGGCGCGAGCTGCTTCCTGTTGTTTTATTTATTATTCATTTGTTGATTTAACATTTTTTTTTGGCTTGGTTTCAGCCACAACCAGTTTCAGTGGCACGTTACAACAAACATTTTCATCGGGGAACTTTGTGGATTGCAGCAAGGGGGTGCGTCAGACACGCAGCCAGAAGTCTTCAGATGAACATTCTCTTTCTGAAGTGCCAGAGACAGCAGAGGGAGATGCAGGGGTAGGTGTTTTCCAGTGTCCCAGTGAAGGATGTATCAAGGTCTATCAAAGATACTCAGCCCTTGAAAAGCACCTGTCATACGAAAAGTGTGAATTGCTCCCAGAGAAAGCCACACTTCTTGACCAAGCGAAAGAAATGTACCATCTTAAATTAACTGAAGGAAGGAGCGCAGGAGCGACAAGCCATGATGAGAGAACCGTTCCTCGGGAACTTGCCGCAAATACCAGTCAGCTGGCGAGAGGTTGGGCGTTGAAGCAAACAAAAAAATCCGGGCGCCTCAGTGAAACCCAAAAGAAGTACCTTAATGAAAAGTTTAGTATCGGGCAGCAAACCGGTCACAAAGTGGATCCACTGTCGGTAGCTCGCGACATGCGCTACGCCAAAAATGCCATGGGTAACCGGCTGTTCACCCGAGATGAATTCCTAAGTGCACAACAAATACAGTCCTACTTTTGTCGGCAAGCTGGGAAACTACGCCATCAACATGCAGAGGATGACAGTAGTGATCGCGAGGCTGCTGTCGACCAACAGCAGTATTGGGACACTCGGACAGAAGTTCTACGAGAAGTTCAGCTCCAGCATCCTATCACTTATGACAATCTTGATCTTTGC